GCGAATCAGAAGCAGGAAAGCGAAGATTCTATTGTCGCAACGATATCGTTGGAAAATGATGTCCACCAAATACTACAAGTTGCCATAAAAGCAACACCGTTATCCTCTGAAGACACTAAACGCTATGCTCAAAAAGACGGCGAGCTACAGCAGAATATTAGATAGATCGAACATGGTTGGCCCGCTCATATAAACAACAAAAACATTGAACAGTATTCTCACCGTCGAAATTCTCCATCACTTGTGGACGGGTGTTTGGTGCTTGGAAATCGAGTAATCGTACCCACAAACTTACGCCGTAAGGTGGTGTCAGAACTGCATGCTGCACACCCAGGGGTAGCATGGATGAAGTCACTTGCGTGTGGGTATGTATATTGGCCGAATATTGATGCCCAGATAACTTCAATCCACCCATGTCTGTAGGGCAGAACATTTTGTTTAATTACGGCTCCTTATGTTTTAGTGGGATGTCACGAACTTATGGTTTTGATGCTGATTTATCACGCAAAATACCTCATTAAATCGTGTTACGAACGTCGAATTGGTTTCACTTCCTACCCAGAAATCCTATTACAAGCAAACTAGACAATTCGCTAATATACGAAGCCTACTCAAGACCCTATAATACCTGAAAAAAAAATAATACAAAAAAACGAAAGGGGCTCTAATAGCTTCGAAAATAAAAGGAAGACAGCCAATTGTATATCACAATACTGTTTCTAGCACTATATTTTATTTTATAATCACACATAATCTCATACTCTCAGCTCCTTTCCAAATCGCCTCCATTTGTCAGTTGTATATCCACTCACACCTTGTTAACAGCTATTTTCTTTAACCTGTTAAAATGCTCTTCTTAACAAATACCTTAATAAAAGAAAATTAGACTAAGTAATTATACCTTAAGCATTCCTTCAAGAATATTGGCTACTCTGCCTCTCGTGTTTTCTTTTACTTGCTCCCTCTTTCAGCCCCCTTGAGATATGGAACGGGTGACTTCATCCTGCACCATCCTTAAAGCCTTGGGTATTCCAAAGGGACATAAGGTTGCGATTTCTAGAAGCTCCTACCTTCAATGGACCTATCCTTGACCATCAGTCGCACATTCGCAACGCAACTTTCATGAAGCGCGCTAACTGTAGAACTGCTTAAAACCATCTACATTCATATCTCATAAATTATCAACCCAGCTATGTAATTTACTACAGTGAATATTGTATCATTTGTATCAATTTGATCTTGCCTGTAAACTGGTATGCCTCATGTAACAAACTGTTATTTGAGAATAAATTATTATTATTATTATTATTAATATGTTGAGAGATGTTCCGCGTGTGCAAAAGCTATCAAAGCCTTTCGCAAGACAGAGATGCATAGTTGAGGAACACCGACAAATCCGTGGTCAGGAGTGCATGTGGATTTCGCCACTCCCATAAACGGGAAACAGTACTTGGTGATTGTTGATGCCTTCTCAAAATGGCCAGAGATCCACTACATGAAGTCTCTTTCGACAAAAGCTACTATCGAAAAACTGAGACAAGTATTCAGCTGCTTTGGGTGTCCAGATGTATTGGTGTCTGATAATAGACCACAGTTTACCTCCGCTGAATTTTCGAAGTTCTGCGTCGCCAACTCCGCTAAGCATATAAAGACACCCCCACACCATCCGCAGTCTAACGGTCTAGTCGAGAGGTTCGTGGATATGTTTAAAAAAGCCCTGCTTAAAGCCGAGGAAGAAGGGGAAACAGAAAAGATAATTTGAAGATTTTTACAAACCTACCGAGCAACGCCCAACCCAGCAACAAATGATCAAGAAAGTCCAGCAGAAGCAATTTTTGGAAGAAAGATTAAAATACCTATGGAGTAAATGAAACCAAAACCTAGAGCCAACCTCAGCAAGAACAAACGAATGGAACAGCGATTCAACAAGCGACATGGTGCACTGCTCAGAAGTATTAGGGTGTAACAAGAGGTAATAGCAAGAGATTTCACGGGAGGATAGCCAACCTGGAAGTTTGGCTTCATAATACGAAAAAAGGAGGAGTTATCTGTGAAGTCAAAGTTGTACAAAAGATGTGCGTGCGACATGCAAACCAGATACAGCCAACCAAACGAGAGCGGGAAACAGGAAATGCTATAAAGCCGAATATACCATTAGATATATTTACTGAGCGGGATGATGAAATTAAAAATGACCCGAATAATAATAGTAAGACGTATATTCTTATTGTATAACTATTCGATAATTAGATTATGTATATTTATATTCCTCTTATTATAAGCTTCATTTTGACTTACGATTTATTATTATACGATTTACTGTCCCTAAATTATGCTCAGTTTATTAACTACTGCCTCCCACGTTCACAGCCACTTTTTGGCTTTATTGTGTACAAATATTATTTCCTATTTTATGGTGCGTTGCGGTCTGTTCGTTTGGTATATAGACACAGTATGTTTGAAATATATGATTTGCTTAGTGGAAGCTGGTATTGGTGTTCTGGACTCAAGTGGACGGGCTAGGTGTACATAGGACCAATAAGGAAGCCAGGCTTCCCATACCGGTGAAACGTCATTGATTTGGCACAGTGCTAAGATTGTATAAGTCGTATTTCGATCGGTGGATAAACCACGTGATAAAAAGCCGGACATAAAGTCACAATACTCTCCTCTCTACGTTCTCCTCTTCGTTTCCCTGATTGTCTGATCAAATCAGTGAGTTCATGAAATATACTATTTAAAATCCATCCTCGTATTTGACTTATTTTTCATTCCGTTGTCCAATAGCGCGATTTCAGTCAATGGTTATATACGAAGATAGACGACATAAATATTTATATGATAATCAGCATACAATGCAACTGAAAACAATATACAGGGCTACTAAAGAAGGAAAACAATGAGGATCGTCGAAAAATATTTTGTGTAATTTTTGGTAGTTTTTTTACTGCTTGCAAAATAAATCAAGTTTAACTATTCTCTGAAAGTCGTTAACAAATACTTCATCTGTTATTTAAATCGAGACATACGTAGTAAAGAGAACTTCAACGGCTAGAAAAGTTTCTCGAAAGTAAACCTAAAACCACTTTACTGGACAACCACTAATGCCATCTATTTTAAGTTTAATTACGGGGATATATTTCTTTTATTTCCAGTCGAATGGTAGTCTGCCGTTGACAAAAGAGCACTTGAATATAGTAATAAAAGGCGAGTGAAGAACGTCAGGACTCAGAGTCAGCTACTGTCTGAGCCACCAAACCTAAGCGAGACCAAATACATCAGAATCTCTTGATTTTGAGGGCTCGAACTCGACGAAACATAGGTCAACATGAGGAAAGATTGGGCAGGTTTTATTAGAACTAGGTATAAGAGAATGACCATCATTGGCATGAAATAGGATCTGCGTACTGTTGACAACTTTTAAATAATACTGCCTGATGTTACTCTCAGAAGCCATTCACAGAGAAATTACTAGCGATCAGAGCCCTAACAATAGGTTGGCTCTGCATAGTATCTTTCAGCCTACCTAATGCATGCTACCATGATAAGTTGTGATTTTTCACCCCCGTTAACAGAATCGAGTTGTATCGCTTGACACTGAATAAAGCAAGATACCTAAGGTTTGTAGTAATTTCTAGGTTGATTGATGGAGAAGCATGTACTCGATGTTCTGATTTGGATCTACGTGATTTTATAATCTATTCTTGGGCACAAGTAGACTGAGGCTAAGATGCCTTCTTCGAAGCTGAGCGAGCTGATTGCACGGGGAATAGTCCATAATTGCTCACAGTTTTAGTTGCTTGCGATTTAGCATCTAAGCAAAAGCAAATTCTAGGTTTGTTCTTAAGTCTTTTTGAACATTGGGTGGTTTGTTATTGAAGATATGATATCGGCGAGGAGCCGTTGCTTCGTCTAAGGACTTTCCTAATGGGCTATCATCTGTTTTATAAATAGTGTTGGCTGGCTGGACTTTCTAATTATTCGTGTGCCTGTGGTAAACGGATTGGAACTGTTTTTTACTCATTCGTATCAGAGTTAAACCCTACAGGTGCCAACATTCGTTTCTGTTAAATCTGGTAGTACTGCGTAGTATTCTGTGACTACGTATATCGTGATTATGTAATATGTTGCTGCAAAAAGTGTCTAATAGAATTATTAATTCTATTCACCACTGACATTAATTACGGACTTTGCTGTTCAACAGTGCCGTTAAATCTAAGTTAATGTGGCTTGCCATCAACGCTAATAAATTTAGTATCATGGGTAGTTGTTTATTCTGTTTTCTGGTTGAGAGTAACTGAAGTAATTTTGGATGCAGAATTTTCCATTCTAAGTATTTAATTCGCATAAACGGAACTTAAGGGTGATATACCCATATTCATGTGAGGGGGTCCATTTTCAGTTCACTATTTGCTGGTTGGAAGCGAGTTGGCGGTTGGTCACACTTGAAATAATGCTGCAGATGTCTGCACCAGTATCTGTGAGATAAAGAACAGTCATCACAGGTGGTGTATTACTGGCAACCGCAACTATCGCAAAAACATGTTTGAAGAAGTTACTGATGCTATAACAGTGGTAGCAAATCTGAAGCTGGTACAGCTGAAAAGTTTACCATATTTTTTCAATCGTTTAATGAAGGTTACGTAGCAGTGTTCAATGTCTTCATTCAGTCCCGAACTTATGCCATATTTGCGTACTCCATTTGGAATTTCTGTCATGACAGGAATATAAAACACATTTTCAAAGTGCTCTAGACGCCTAAGGTAAAATCAATAGGGAAATGTGCTTCAGAGATCAACATTCATCTATCAAATGAGCGAAAAATGCCAGTAAGTGGTGAATACACTCTACATAGTTTACGTCAAAACCACTCATTTAACTCTGGTCAGAAATCTTGTCCTCCTCATTGCTCATGAAGGACCAAACCAAGAAGGATGATTTCTGCAAACACAAGCCCGACGTAAATTCCATGGAACTGGTGGTTCGCTAAATTCAACAGTTTGAGGGTCAAACGGGGGTATTTTAAGGCGCACATTTTGACTCCTACCACGGTAAAACGAGAATGGCGTTTGGTTTGAGGTTATTTGTTCGTTAAATGGTTATATTAATAACTTTAATTGAGCTGTTATGGTTATTCCGAAGCCTATCTTGCATAGAATCTGCAGTCGTTCTGTCGGTGGATTTACCATAATGACGATTCAAGCCGGTCGGTCGAGTTGCACATAACACGTGAAGCGGGTTACATTATCTGTTTCTGGCACGATTTCCGCATTATCATAATCTTAGGCTTTTGTTATTTCTGAACTTTGTTGCTTTCCTTGATGAGTGTAAGCGTATTATGTGCTTTGCTTAGTCGTTGAATCACCTCTTGCCTTCTCTCCTATTATGTGCTCCCCTATAACACCATCCCTTCTGGTCAGACCCGAAGCCCGACAAGTTTCGGCTGTTGATGTTTGTTATCCGAATATATCACGCCACGATTTCTCATTAGTTTTGTTATATTTTCGTTCATCACACAAAATCTACTCTAGTTTCTGGTCATTTGCACCATACTTTTGGACTGGATTCAGGTTTTTGACACTTTATTTTTGATACTTTATTTTTGATTTCTGTCCTCATGTCTTTGGTTTACGATGTCGGTTCTAGTTTTTATTATTCACTGTCTCCCCGCATTCGCTCTTGGTGTTTTTCCAAGTTTCTCAATCAGTTTTATAAATATACTTAGCATTACTCCAGCCTAAACGTTAACTTAATGAACATTAAACCTTTCTCGCTAATAGAAACTATTTGTTTGAGATACATGAAAATAACAGCCGGAAATCCATGCAAAGAAAAATTAGCTGTTCTAAGCCACTCACGGAAAAATTGTTCATTCTGAAGAAGGTTGATATTATATCCCACCAGTTTTATATATTGTAGTGTCTACGTCCAGTCTTAATCAGATTAGGAAAGACCAATGGATTATATAAAACAAAAGCAAATTTTTAATTGCTCGGAAACTCATTTCTTCAGGCTCGAGGAACCATGAAGATAGACCACAACTTAAGCCTAGAGTAAAATAAAGTGCATGCATTAGCCGTGACCATTAGTGTACAATAAAAGCAAAAAAGTAGGACAACAAGTATGAGTAACTAAACAGTCATCCTGACGCACACAGACAGGTCTTGTTAAACCAGTCACCAGTAAAATTATTCCGGAAGTACAGAACCATTGTACACTCAGTCCAGGTGAGTAGAGCTACGTGGCTGAGATGTGTGCAATATTAACTGTAGTAAGAATATGTTAAAAGAAAGCTTGAAGCGACTAAACCAAGACATTGCATCTGTTTATGAAGTCATTGGTAGCTGGTGTAAGCTAAAGTGATAGGCGTGAACTACCTGGTTAAGGTTGGCGTTATGAACACATTCAGCGGCTCAGGTTGTTGGGCAATATGATTCATAATCCACTAAGATGGTGTAGATGCGCTTATTTTTACTCTAGATCTTAAGTTTCAGTAGCTCTTCATAAATATTCTTCCATTCCTTTGGGAACCAAGTTCCTAGTGTTTAGTCTTTCTCACTACCAGTGTTATTACAGTTATTCTTATTCGTTCGCTATTTGACTCGTCAATCTTACATCCCGATTTGATATGGGGAACTAAGCTAATCTCCACGTGCCATACTCTGCGATAATCATAACTGACTTAAGATATGGACGTAAGTCAATGAATAGTCTTACTCATGCTCTGGGATATACTTATTTCCTTCGTTTTTATGCTTATTAGATTGGAATTTCGACCATACGATCAATTGCCTTAGTTACTGGCAACAAATAACAATTTATCAACTGGCTACCTGTTATGATTGGTAAAGTCGAAAATCTTGCTGCAAATAAGCTTCTGTATGGATTCAGGTTAAGGAGAGTAAGTTTTTTATTGTGATGAATATCCTTTTAGTCCTTTGAAGTGGCAGAGTTTCGGTTACTAGCTGCTGAGCTTGAGCATCAGAAGTCGGGTGCAAAATACTTGCACTTGGCACGAGATGATCCCAACAAAACATTCAGGTTGGGTCAAATGTTACTTAGTTTATTCTAGGTCAGTGTTCAACTTAGGACTGTTCCTCACGACGATTCTGGTGTTTCTCATATTTTAGAACATACTGTTCTTTGCGGATCCCAAAAGTATCCTTGCCGTGATCCGTTCATGAAGATGGCCCAGAGAAGTCAAGCTACATTCATGAATGCTTTTACTGGTAAATTATATGCGTATGGCGAATCATTTTTTCTAGCCAGCGATTGGACTATGTACCCATTCAGCACGATGAATAATACTGATTTCCAGAATCTTTTAAAGGTCTATCTAGATGCTGTTTTCCGACCTAAAATCGAAGAGCTTGATTTTATGTAGGTTTAGGTGACTTTCAATTATGATTTTCAGGCAAGAAGGATGGCGTTTAGAACCAGAAAACCTTAATGATATGACATCTAATCTGGTTTTGAAGGGCGTAGTCTTCAATGAAATGAAGGGTGTATTTGTAAGTTTCTCAGATTTTCCTTCTGTCCGTATACACCAGTTTCAAAAAACCTATAAGTCAGTCAGTCAGTCAGCTACAACGTAGGACCAGGCACATATGTGCATCGGTCCAGGTTGCCATACCTCATTAGCACAGCAAGATGAACACCGGATTCATAAAGTAGTTAGTTCAGAGGTGGTAATATATAGGAGAGATTGCAATAAGGATATAGTATAGGAAGAAAGAATTAGTTCGTAGAAAGAAAGATATGAAGTGATTTTAATCTCTTAGTTTAAGGAAGACAGAGAGTGTATACACCGACGCCATTGTGATCGATTCTGAGCCATGTCACCAAGAGTCTCCAACCATTGGTTACGAAAGTCACGCGGACCCCAACCAAGTAGTCTGCATCTACCAACATGGCTCAGACTAGAAGTTAGTGACTTCAGGCACTGATGCCACGTTTTGGTTTGGCCGCCCCTAACTTTCTTCCAACCATCCCCTACACCGGTTAGCATTGCACGTCGTGGTAATCGGTGTTCAGGCATACGTAACACGTGGCCCAACCATCTCAGTCGATGAAGATTCATAACCTCATCAACTGATTTACCATCATTCCCTAATACCCTGCGTCTAACCTCACTATTACTTACCCGGTGATCCCAGCAGATGCCAGCAATATTTCTAAGGCATCTGTGGTCAAATACTAGTAGCTTACGGGTGTCTTCTACTCTTAAGGGCCATGTTTCGCTGCCGTAAATTAAAACAGAACGAACTGCCGCGCAGTATACTCGTCCTTTTATTGATAGACGGATATCTCGCCTCCGCCAAAGGTGACGTAAGTTGGCAAAAGCCAAACGAGCTTTACGAATCCGTGCTGAGATTTCGTCAGACACCAACCCATTAGGGCTGATCAGACTTCCAAGATAAGTGAAGTTGTCAACGCGTTCGACTACTTCACTCCCTATCCTTAGTTCAGGTGTTGACGCAGACCAGTCCTGAAGCAACAACTTGCATTTAGAGGGAGAGAAGCGCATCCCAAACATTCTGGCATTGTTGCTTAGTGCTACCAGAAGACTCTGCATTTTGTCAGCGTCTTCACCAAACAGGACTATGTCATCTGCGTATTCTAAGTCGATAAGTGGACCTCCTGGAAGGAGATCAATACCCGAGAATTCAGTCGACGAGAGTGTTATTTCCATCAATAGGTCTATGATGAAGTTAAACAAAAATGGAGAAAGTGGGCAGCCTTGACGGACACCACTTGAGGTTGCAAAAGTAGATGACAGTTCGCCATAAGCCCTGACTCGACTAGTAGTGTTCGAGTAAAGAGCCTTCACAAGGTTTATGTACTTCTGAGGTACGCCTTTCAATGACAGACACTGCCACAGAGTCTCGCGGTCTACAGAGTCAAATGCTGCTTTTAAGTCAAGAAAGACCACCATCGTCGGACGCCGATAGGTATGCCTGTGTTCTAGAACCTGACGAATGGTGAATATGTGGTCGATGCAGCCACGACCAGGTCTAAAGCCAGCTTGGTTCTCTCGTGTTTGTAGTTCACGAGTCTTAGTTAGGCGTTTGATAATTATCGAGGCCAGTATTTTAGATACTATGTTTGTTAAACTAATCCCTCTGTGGTTGTCACAGGATGATTTTGACCCTTTCTTATATATTGGGACGATAAGTGATTGCGACCAGTCAGATGGGATAACGTCTAATTCCCAGATCTTAGCTAAAATATTAGTCAACCTAATCGCTAAAATTGGACCACCATCCTTAAAGACCTCTGGAGCCAATCCATCTGGACCAGCTGCCCTTCCTCGTTTCAGATTAACTATAGCCTTCTCAACTTCAGCAAGAGTTGGGGGACCTACTTCAATGTTCCATTCACATTGTCTGGGAATGGAGGGTAGTTGTAGAGTAGCTGAAGGCCAGCTGAACTGTTCTCTAAAATGTTCCGCCCATCGTTCTAAACGTCTGGACTGGGAGCAGATGAGAGTATCATCTTTTTCCGAAATAATCTCACTTACACTTGACTTATTAATTCCAGTTTCTTTTATTAGTCTGTAAAGCTGTCTTGTGTTCCCTATAGTCGCCGCCTTTTCCATCTCTTTTGCTTTCGTTACCCACCACTGCTCACGGTCGTTCCTTAGACTTTTTCTTAACCTAGATCTGATTTGTTTACGCTCTTCATCATGTTCAGAACCTGATGGGACGAGTTTGCGAGAATCCATCAGTGTGACAGACCTTGAAGAAATCCACTGGTTCCTTGTAACTCTGTGGTTTAAGTCACTAATAGATGTCACTGCTGTTTCCACAGCTGATTGTATGCCCTTCCAAGCAACATCTGGGTCAGCCTCGTCTTCACAACTACCTAAGTGTGACCTCAGTTGTTCCTGGAACCTACTTTTGGTTTTCTCGTTACTCAACTCAGTTCTAACGGGTCTTTTTAATGTGGCTTTTTTGCGTCCAGTGAGGCGCAAGCAGATGCGTGCCCGTATTAGGGCATGGTCGGAGTCCAAGCAGGTACTCCAGAATGAGCGACAATCTTCTACCGACCCTCTCCAACGATGACTGATGGCAATATGGTCTATTTGAGTCCATCGTTGGTTTGGTGTAGGGGGTCGCCATGTTAGACGATGTCTCTCCTTATGCTTAAAATTTGTGTTTGCTAAAAATAAACGATTGTCTGAGCATAGCTGCAGCAGACGATCACCATTATCTGTTCGCTGTGTCGGAATACTAAAATATCCACCTAAATGCCTTTCTGTTTGGTTTAAACTGCCTATCTGAGCATTAAAATCACCTGCTACGAGTACTATGTCTGAGCGTTTAGCTTTCTGAAGAAGTTCGGACAGCTTTCTGTAAAATTCATCTTTCACTTCATCTGAGCTGCAGTCAGTGGGAGCGTAGGCAGAAACGACAAAAAGGCAACGACGTGTGTCCCTATCCTTCCGAGTTCTTACGTAGCCGTTCAGCCGAACAGCACATAGACGACTGTTGACGGGGATCCACTCTAGCAGTGCTTGTTCGGCCCTCATGCTTAGTGCTATGCCTACACCTGCCAGTCCACGAGAACTTGCCATCGGGTCACCAGATACACGAAGGGTGTATCTCGTTGGCTCTCCGTTTGCCGAGGTGAGGTCAAGTGAATGACCACACTGGAATCCTGTATGCGTGTTTCGGAGACACAGCATACATCAATGGAAAGAGACTCTAGGGTTTTAGCCAAGGAAGCCTGCTGACCGATTTGACATAGGGTGCGTACGTTGAAGGCTCCAATGTGTAGTTTGGAGCGAGGTTTCAGTAGACCTGGGACAGTGTTTTGCGCACTAGAATCGTTGGCTATGGTGACACTTGAGGTGGAAGCCGAGAGGGGAAATTTAGAGTTGAAAGTCGATGTAGGAGGAATAATAGGAATTGAAGAGGAGGTTGATTATGAATACAGTGGTCTTGAGTGCTGTTAGAAGTATGAGGGCGGTTATCACTTCCCGGTTGCCCACACCGTGGAAGGGTTGTTCTGGAGGTACCTGAAAAGGAAATTGGATTAGAGGTGGTCTTAGTGACCTGAGAGCGTGACCGCAGTGCCCAAGGGACAACTGCTTGAGGTCGGTCACACACGACCTTTTTATGGGTAATTTTTGTGTTAGCTCCGTACTTATTGAGACCTTACCGCCGGAGACGGATATCCGTGGGATAAGGCGAGGTGTGCATTTTTAGGGTCGACCTTTTCTAACCCCACCCCTCCTTGTGGGAAGGCAGCATCGCTGTCATGCTGGTTGTCTGAAGGAAACACCTTACTGCTGTCACACCTCTGTACAGTCAGCAGTACGACTTCGCCTTCGGACCTTGGGTTTGTTGCTTTTAGTCTTACCGCTCTTCAACCGACCTGTCTGACATGGTAGGACCTTGAGGAACGGTTGTTCCAGCCAGTATAGCTCGGTTGCTTCATCACGATAGGCAAGCCCGACCACCACGTCAAGGTAGCAACCTATTATGTTAACCTCTAAACTCACTACGCATTATTAACTTCATGTGATACTTGAATTTTATTCTTTTTCAATGAGATGTTAATCTGGCTCATTCACAGATGCTTGGGTATTATATTTTAAGTCGTTCTCTGTAAATGTAGTACTTTTTGGCGTCTTAAACGTTGGTTGGGAAAATAGGGCTTGAAGCAGCATCCTGTTGACCACAGCCTGACTCTTTAACAAGTTCATTGATTCGAACTAGTTTTAGTTACATCAATTCATTTTGTTAACTTAGTTGTCGAAATCTCTTCCGAAACACAAATCCCATATAGGCTTTATACATCTGTTTATCGCACGTAGTTTGGGATTATCAATAAAAAACTAACCAATTCGCCGAAAAATGTGTCTGTACACTTATTATTTTTCTCACTGTCTATTTCTTTATCATACTACGCTTCATCTATTTTAAGTCACATTAATACTTGTGATGAGTAACATTTGAAGTTGGCATATTTACCTTCTCTGCTTCGCTTCTCATCATGCTGCCTGTCTGAGCAAACGAGTGCCTGATATAAATTCGTCCAACATAGTTCGTATTTGGCTCTCTATTACCACCGTCGCGTAAACAGAGTTAACCTAGGTGGAACATACAAAATCAAACGAAAGATTTATATTCATAGCTCATTGATCGTGCGTTAGTTACAGCGTCAGATTTCGAACAATAAACCCTCGTTTCTCCGAGTTCATAAATGAAGTTTACAAATTCGACTCATTTCCCCGTTTTTGTTTTCAGTTGCATAACAAATGTAATTCCTTTTCAGTCTAACTCACTAAATCGTTTTGCTCAAATTATCAAAAACAAGTTGCTTCCGCAAACTTACGGTTTTGTTAGTGCAGGGAGTCCAGAACGTATTCCAACATTAACCTACGAGTATCTGAAGGAGTTTCACAATAAGTATTACCATCCGAGCAACTCATGGTAAGTGTTCAGTAAGTAGTGTAGTTCAGTGTCAGTATTTTTTCTTGCGGGAGAGGTTTCAGTTTGCGTGCTATTACTATTTTGCTTAACTTTTTTCACTGGTTGATATTCAAATAAAAAAATTAATAAATGATTCCAGGTATCAAATTTATAGTTGGTTCATTGCTATGCAGGTTTTTATAGCAGTTGAATCAGCATTCAAATTTTGTTCATAGTAGTGTCACTCACTTTTATTAGCCACAGTATCATTTTTGAGTTTATGTATCGCGCCTAGCAAGTCATTGTAATTCCTATTTACTCATCGACGGATTGCAGTCTAGACTTAACTGAGGATAAGTTTTACGACCAATTAAATCACACCAATAAAGCGTTTGACATACTGTGCTGCTATCTGGGTTCTTGAATGCTGAAATCGAGCTTCTAGGCACAGAGTTGTGTCGTTTGGGTGGCTAATAAAGACTTAATAATCGCAAGTTGGATAATAACGATTACCTCATGTTGTTCTTCGCAATCCACAACCTGTTTATGTTCAACCTAGTTCCCCGCATAATTGTTGCCAGTATTCCAGCTTGGGTCATCCCTGAGGTCAAATTGATCACATTGCGACTAACCACCTCTGGTACGGCCGTTTACGAGACTGTCGCTACTTTCAAAGTATGTATCTAGATTCTGATCACACACTGATTGCCCTAATATTATCTTGGGCTCCTGTTGTCAACAAACCAATCGTTGTGATTGAGTCGATGCGAGCGAATCGGCTGCAACCTGTGTTTCGTCCAAGTATCCATATCAGGCTCAGTCAGTCAGCTACAACGTAGGACCAGGCACATATATGCATCGGTCCAAGTTGCCATACCTCATTAACACAACAAGATGGATACTGGATTCATAAAAGTAGTTAATTCAGAGGTGGTAATACATATAAGAAAGATTGCAATAAGGATATAGTACACGAAGAAAGAATTAGTTCGTAGGAAGAAAGATACGAAGCAATTTTAATCTCTTCGTTTAAGGGAAGATAGAGAGTGTATACACCGACGCCATTGTGATCGATTCTGAGCCATGTCACCAAAAGTCTCCAATCATTGGTTACGATAGTCACGCGGACCCCAACCAACTAGTCTGCATGTACCAACATGGCTCAGACTAGAAGTTAGTGACTTCAGTGATTGATACCACTTAACATGATGGACCAATTAGGCTACACTGGCTGGAACAATCATTTTAGATACTATATTGGTTAAATTAATCCGTCTGTGGTTGTCACAGGATGATTTTAACCCTCTCTTATATATTGGGACGATAAGTGATTGTGACCAGTTAGATGGGATAACATCTAACTCCCAGATCTTAGCTAAAATATTAGTCAACCCAATCGCTAAAATTGGACCACCATCCTTAAAGACCTCTGGGGTCAATCCATCTGGACCAGCTGCCCTTCCTCGTTTCAGATTAACTATAGCCTTTTGAACTTCTGCTAGAGTTGGGGGACCTACTTCAATGTTCCATTCACAATGTCTGGGAATGGAGAGTAGTTGTAGAGTAGCTGAAGGCCAGCTGAACTGTTCTCTAAAATGTTCCGCCCATCGTTCTAAACGTCTGGACTGAGAGCAGATGAGAGTGTGTCGTCTTTTTCCGATATAATCTCACTTACACTTGGCTTATTAATTCCAGTTTCTTTTATTAGTCTGTAGAGCTGTCTTGTGTTCCCTATAGCCGCCGCCTTTTCCATCTCTTTTACTTTCGTCGCCCACCACTAAATACCCACCTAAATGCCTTTCTGTTTGGTTTAAACTACCTATCTGGGCATTAAAGTCACCTGCTACGAGTACTATGTCTGAACGTTTAGCTTTCTTAAGAGGTTCAGAGAGCTTTCTGCAAAATTCATCTTTCACTTCATCCGAGCTGCAGTCAGTGGGAGCGTAGGCAGAAACGACAAAAAGGCAACGACGTGTGTCCCTATCCTTCCGAGTTCTTACGTAGCCATTTAGCCGAACAGCACATAGACGACTGTTAACGGGAATTCACTCTAACAGGTTCCGCCCTCATGCTTAGTGCTATGCCTACACCTGCCAGTCCACGAGAGCTGGCCGTCGGGTCACCAGATACACGGAGGGTGTATCTCGTTGGCTCTCGGTTTTGCCGAGGTGTGGTCAAGTGAATGACCACACTGGGATCCTGTATGCGTGTTTCAGAGACAGCATACATCAACGGTACGAGATTCTAGGGTTCTAGCCAAGGAGGCCTGTTGGCCAATTTGACATAGGGTGCGTGCTTTGAAGGCTGCAATGTGTAGTTTGGAGCGAGGTTTCAGTAGACCTGGGACAGTGTTTTGAGCACTAGAATCGTTGGCTATGGTGACATTTGAGGATGAAGCCGAAAAAGGAAGTTTAGAGGTGAAAGTCGATGTAGGAGGAATAATAGGAATTGAAGAGGGAGGTTGATTATGAATACAGTGGTCTTGAGTGCTGTTAGAAGCATGAGGGCGGTTATCACTTCCCGGCTGCCCACACCGTGGAAGGGTTGTTCTGGAGGTACCTGAAAAGGAAATTGGGTTAGAGGTGGACTTAGTGACCTGGGAGCGTGACCACAGTGCCCAAGGGACAACTGCTTGAGGTCGGTCACACACGACCTTTTTATGGATAATTTTTGTGTTGGCTCCGTACTTGTTAAGACCTTACCGCCGGAGACGGATATCCGTGGGATAAGGCGAGGTGTGCATGTTTAGGGTCGACCCTTTCTAACCCCCCTCTTCCTTGTGGGAAGGTAGCATCGCTGTCATGCTGGTTGTCTGAAGGAAACACCTTACTGCTGTCACACCTCTGTACAGTCAGCAGTACGACTTCGCCTCCGAACCTTGGGTTTGTTGCTTTTAGTCTTACCGCTCTTCAACCAGCCAGTATAGCTCGGTTGCTTCATCACGATAGGCAAGCTCGACCACCACGTCAAGGTAGCAACAACGGTCGGGATATCAGGCTCAACTCGAGCTACCACCAGTCAACCGAAAAGTGCATGTGGGGACTGGCTGTATTTGCTTGATAATGGCAAGCAAATTCACTTGCGGCTCTACGAAACGTCTTGCTTATAATCACAGTTTCTATAAGCTCCATACGACCCCTTATAGCACATCGATCTACTCTACTGGATAGCGAGCTTGATGCTTTATGTAGACATGTAACTCGAATAATTTCTTAAAGCACGCCTGAGAACCAAGTGACTTGGTGATCAATGCACGGTAATGAGTTGAAAGCACCAGCTTCATCTAGTAACTCCCGGGTCACTAGCAGAAAAATGTCCGGTGTCAGTTTAATATTGTATGAGGTTGATGATAAGCCAATCAATAGTAACCTTCAAAAATAAGTTCCCATCCCGGTCGGAGATGTAATGATGATGTACTCACTTTTCGTTGAATGCTATAGCATCACACTTACTAAAGGATAGTAGTCGTTGTATTTCATGACGTCAGGAGCCCCTTCAATTCGTTGGACAGGACTATGGTTTGAAAGTGTCGGTAGAACACAGTTGTATCTAAAACTTCTTTTCATATATTGAAGAGCTCTACTCAAAAACACCTAAGTCACAATGAAGCTATTCAACTGCTTCTTCCTCATTGTTGCAATACTGGTGTAGAGTAAGACGGTTTCTTAATCTCCTTATTTCTCTCCAACTCCGCCACCTATATTCTGGAAACTGCTCCGAAGGTAGTACGTGATGATGGTGTGGATGCGTATCCCAGGAAGAAGATTTTCGAATTCGAGTATGCAGGTGACGTCTTACTGCACGATGATATGCTATGCAAATAACATTTAGTTAACCGACATTCAGTGTCTTCAAGGTCGGGATGTAATTTGCACCTTTCGAATTAAAAGTACTTTTAAGAAACTGTCAGGAACCTATGGCTACACTCAATCTTTTTGGAGAATCACTAAAAATATTCGAAAAGTTCATGTATCTGGGTTGTTATATAACTGCTGTTGGTAGCGTGGCTGGTCAGGTCAATATATGCAATGTAAATCAGAGCCTTGTATGTCAATTATTGCTCTTTGTGGTGCTATCGTAATTTAGGCTCGTCTGTATTAGATTGAATTCACAACAGTTTGATAAAAGTAGTTTTCTGCTAAGATATTCATCGACCATGCACAAATATTGTTGTCTTTGAAGGATTTCTTACATCTTATGCCTATATCACGTTAGAAATGGCAAGCTTCGACAATATGTATTCGGTTGCAATAATGATAATTCAGTTGGTGTTACCATCTATCCACCGACTTGTGTGTTAAAATCATCCACTGTAATTGCTACATCTGAACACAACCGGGAAAACCCACTGTTTACTTAGTTTAAGCTACAATCAGTGAGAGCTCTGGCAAAATATGACGAGGTGACTTCGGGAATCCCTGTCCTCCCAGACTCTTATATAGGTAGGTAAAAAGCTCAAGAAAGGTCGTTGACTGAAATCTATCTAAGAAGTCTCTTTTGCTTTGGAAATTAGTGGTAAGTTTACACCAAGTAAAGTTGTTGAGTCTCTAGATACGCGAAAGGTGAGTCGCTTTGGCTTTCTACATTGGTTGGATTAGATAAAGTGAACATTCTCTTCTCGATCTTGTATGTGGGTTTTGAAGACGCTGTATATACCAGAAGCACGAGTTTCTAACTTCTTGTCTTATGAATCCTGTTATTCTTTTTTATGCAGTTTGGGAGTTAGGAGTTTATTTATGGATAGTTTTTGCTGTCTAGGTCCTTAGTTTTCAGGCCTTATAACTTAAACCAAAAATTCATGGAGGGTAGATAAGATGTGCTATTTGTAGGTTAAATCTATTTTGACCTCAGTTTATCATAATCAACTTAGGACCTGACGCAAGCGAATTAGATCTCAAGGAGCAAATTTTCAAGCCAATATAATTCGATTAGATCCCCTTGATCTGCATGCTCGGCCATGGAGTTAAGCTAGTGGATTAAGCACTATATGACAGTAAATTAATCCTGTCAATACTTCCGATTATCGTCTGCTGTGTAATAATTGTCAATTCAGTAGCTCACTGGTTTTGATATTCCCTGGCCTAATAAGTGTCCACTATCAGGGCTGAAGTGCATCAATAGTGGGATTACTGACTATATAATCCCTCAAACAGCTTTAATGTCTGGAAAATAACCATTTACTCTAATTATACGTCCATGCTTTTAATTTGATTATGCAATAGTACATGAGTATTTGTTTATTTGCTGAATCAGAGTAGGTTCATATTATTTATATTAAAGATCCTCACCTAACAAACCTTGTGTTAATTATATTTGATTTTACCTTTTGCAGTAAAAAGTCAAATTGCAGTACTATTGTGATTGTGAATATGTTGTACTCGTCAAAACAACTGTCGTCACCTTAGCACGCTTGTAGAGGCCCGTAGTTCTGCCGTCGTTTAGATCGAACGATGTTGTCGAACGGGCTCTCCACTTTAGTGGCACGTGGGTCTGACTCCTATTTAGATCGTATGGATGTTTGCTATCGCCTATTCTCGTATATCATCGTCGACTTTAATCACGTTAGTCAATAACTGAATTTAGATAAGTCGAATAACGAGAATTGACTTGTGAATACATATATTTTGTACATAAAGCGAATGAAACAGCAAAGCAAAATGACACGCATGGAAGATGGCTGGGAAGCCAACTCCATTTTAGTCAAGCGTTACTCAATATTTATAGTCAGACAAAATAAAGCCACAGACATGTGATTAATGGAATAAGAAGGGCACACACATATACGCTCATATAAAAACAGTCAAGACTGATAAGCGAATAATTGACAAGGTCAAAATATGACTCAAGTAGAATGAATAGAATGGAATGTCCGAAAGCTAGAATATAAGGTATATGGGCTTGGCATAATAACTGACACTACACGCTTCATAATGTTTACTGTTGGCCAGGGTATATGCATTTTGATGATCGAATTAGTACTTAATGTCCCCATAGGTTATTATTTATTATTTACTTATTTGAACACATAAATATTGGTACAAGGAGGCACCGTATATATATATATGGCCACACAAAACAATGAGAATGGGGAGAGAAAAAGAAGGTAAGGTGCGTATAAGAAAAAAAACAATAACAACCACAGATTAGTGTATTTATTGGTTTGGTAATTCTTCACACGAAACGCATATTCGTCGTTATCACTCTAGTTCTCTCATTTGGAGTCCCGTATTCGTTAGTCTCTTGAAATGTTTCCCGGAAGAATAACCAAAACTAATTTCGATACTTCACACGTGGTTCTTTCTACTTTCAGTTTCTATACTTATGGTAATGTAAACCTGGAACATTGTCTTGAGTATCTTGATTCAGAGTATCTCCAACATTACGATTTTTCAGTTCAAGACAACTCAGTACCATTAGAATGTATATGGGATGAACCCGTAAGTTTCTTCAATTTTTGGTCTCGTTTACTGGTCTGTTGTAAGCTTTCATGTTGACGAATCTGATATAAAATGCTAAGCTTTTGTCAGTATTGGGATCTGAAATATAGAAGAGTTATGAAGGAAGTTTTTTCTGATGTGATTTTACAAAATTTTCACTTGTCAAAACCAATGAATAGGATGTTAATCGATGGATAGACGCAATGATATGTTGTGGAGGAGTGATGGCTTCTCAAAAGACTGCAATTGACTTAGGCCCTCGAATAAGTACAAGTAAAGGACAAGACTGCAAACCAGATGAATAGATCTTCGTATAATGGACGCAAAATAAACATAATAAAATGCCATAGGTGATCATAGGAAGTTCTACGTTGTTGCCTCTTCGTGGTCTCTGCCTATTCTCCCACTGACTGCAGCTAAGATGATGTAAAAGACGAGTTTTACAGAAAGCTTTCCGGCCTTCTTCAAAAATCGAGGCGCTCTGATGTAGTAATTGTGGCTGGTGACTTTAATGCTCAAGTAGGCAAACTAAGCGAAAGGGAAAGACACCTGGGTGGATCTTATAGCATCATGGCTCAAAGAACAGATAATGGCGACCGTCTGTTGCAGCTGTGCTCAGATAACCGCCTGTTCCTTGCAAATACTAACTTTAAGCATAAGGAAAAACATCTTTTAACATGGCGACCCCTTAGTTCGTCTCAACGTTGGACCTAAATAGACTGGATCGATGGGCAGAACACCTTATGGATCAGTTCAACTGGCCTTCAGCCACACTTCGGTTTCCCACGATCGGTAGTCAACCTGAATGGCAAGTTAATGTAGGTCCTCCGACTCTTTATGAAGTTGAAAAAGCTATCGGAAATCTGACAGCTTTACTCCTGAGATTTTTAAGGATGGTGGTCCAGTATTAGCAGTGAGATTGACTGAGGTCTTAAGTAGAATTCGGGAACTGGACGTAATCCCATCTGACTGGAGTCAATCACTGATTAAGCCAGTCTATAAGTAAGGACAAAAAACCTCTTGTGACAATCACAGAGGAATCAGTTTGACTAATATAGTGTCTAAAATATTCGCTTCAATAATACTTCGACGCCTAACCAAAACTCGTGAAGGACAGACTAGAGAAAACCAGACTGGTTTTCGACCTAGACGTGGTTGTATAGACCAGATATTCACACTACGTCAGGTCCTAGAACATAGACACACATTCAGACGCCCCACAATCTTAGTGTTTCTCGACCTTGAGGCAACATTCGACTCTGTTGATCGTGAGGTTCTTTGGCAGTGTTTGTCACCGAAAGGAGTACCAAAGAAGTACATTAACCTTATAAAGGCTCTCTACTCGAAAACAACTGGTCGAGTGAGAGCTTATGGCGAACTGTCATCAGAATTGATTACCTCAAGTGGTGTTCGTCAGGGCTGTCCACTCTCTCCATTCTTGTTTAACTTTGTCGTTGACGTGCTTTTAGAGATAACAATTTCCTCAGCTAAATTTCCAGGGGTTGAACTTCTACTGGGAGATTCACTTTTTGACCTAGAATATGCCGATGACATAGTTTTATTTGGTGAAGACGCTGACAAAATGCAGAGTCTTCTGAACACTATAAGTAACAATGCAAACGTGTTCGAGATGCGATTTTCCCTCCCCTCGAAATGCATCCACACTCAAACTAATGATAGGGAGTGAAGTAGTTGGGCGTGTCGATCGCTTCACTTATCTTGGGAGTCTCATCAGCCCCTGTGGTCTGGTGTGTGACAAAATCTCAGCACGGATACAGAAGGCTCGACTAGCTTTTGCCAACTTGCGTCATTTATGGCATAGGCGAGATATCCGTCTACCAACCAAAGGACGTGTTTACTGCGCAGCAGTTCGTTCCGTCCTACATTATGGCAGTGAAACGTGGCCGGTAAGAGTAGAGGATATTCGTAGGTTACTAGTATTTCATCATAGGTGTCTTCGAAACATTGCTCGTATATCCTGGGACCATCGAGTAAGTAATGCAGTTGTTAGGAAACGGGTACTAGGTAAGGATGGCAAATCAATTGATGAATTAGTGAAACTTGATCAGTTGAGATGGTTGGGACACGTGTTACGTATGCCCAACGATCGACTTCCTCGACGTGTGATGTTTCATGGTATAGGAGTAGGTTGGAAGAAAGTTAGGGGCGGCCAGACCAAGACATGGCACAAATCCATGAAGTCACTGATAAGTGGACTGAGCCATGTTGGTAGGTGTAGACTACCTGGTTGGGGACCGCGAGATGATAGCAACTGATGGTTAGAGACCCAGAATGACAAGGCTCAGAATCGTTTGCAATGGCACAGGTGCATACACTCTTTGTGTTCTCCCAAATCCTAATCTCCTGATTCCTCCTTTTCTCTTTTTTTCTCTTCCCAGATTTATTTCACTGTATTATACTCTTTAAATAAAATCTTCAAACCCTAATCTTTCCGATTACTGCTTATACTCTTACTACTTCTACCACTATGGGATTTGAATCGACAACTGTATCTCTGTGCTAATGTGGTGTGGCAACTCGAATTGATGTACGTACGTACTAAGTTCTACGTTGTTACTGACTGACTGACATAGGAAATTAGCTTTTAGGTCACTCATTCTCCAATCGATTATGACCGAACTGTTAGGTCTAATTTTTTGACAGCGTATCAATAAGACTATGTTTTTTTGATAATATTTTAATCTTATTTGTTTAGTTGGAATGTATATGGACAACATTCATACTGTTAATTATGTTGAAGAAAATTGAGCCTAATTTCCCCGAAACTCGGTCATTTCGTGGCTGCATTATATCCTCTTATAAGATAGTTATGCTCACTGTTTTCATGCTATCAAAACAGTTCCACAGACGTATGATATCTGAAGATTGTAGAGTTAAGGGTCTGTAGAAGTAATCAGAGATCGTTTCGGATTCTAAACCGATGACGACACTCCTGTCTTTTCCAAATGTCTCCTTCATAAACAATAAGATCTCTTTTAATGACTGAATAAGTTCTTGGTTATATTCTCGGTAAAACAGTATGGCTTAGTATATGTTATTCTTGCTTGTTTCACTTCATAGAACGGTGGTTTAGCTACTAAAGCCTTCAACTTTCATTTAATAGAAAGCAGGTTTGAACTACGCTTCATCTTTGGTCCAAGTTTCCGGTTATCATCAGTAACGTTCACATAGAAGATTATTCAGCGGAATACATGATACTGTACTTAGTTACCTATTTATTTTAATAAATTATATGTGATTTCCCATTTTCTACACTATTCTTGGATATTTCAGCGAATTTCAGGTCAGTCTTTGTTCTTCCTTGTTTTTCGGCTTCCTCCAGAGATCGGGTTACTAATTAAGTTTTATTTACATTGCGTTTGTATAATTTAATCGATTTGATCAATGGATTTATCCGATAACCTAATTAATACATTTGGTCTTGTAAATTACCTTTTGTAGAGATTAGTTCAGTTGACATGTGAACCAGATCCAATGAATCCCCACCCAGATCGTGAATGCTGTGTATCTCTTAGCTTCCGTTTGGATGAGTAAGTTTACATCATTTGTGCTTGGATTAACAATGAACTGAAGCTCCGGAGATGAGCCAATTTATAATAAGTGAAGTAGAGAGCTTTCAGTAATTCAGAATCGAATGAGTCACTATCATCTATTGGGTGCCAAAAAATGACTTATCGGATAGTTAAAAATCTAACTAAAATTAAAACAATTAGGATTTATATTAGTTGAGACGGTCGTTATATTTCTTCTCAGCCTTGTATCTACATGGAATGTTTCCGGATTCCTCAAATAAGTACGGTTTCATGCATATTAATTGAACACTCAGTACCATAACATTTGAACTTTCACATTTGAAAGCTTTGTTTCTAACTTATGTATTACGTAGATTAACTTGGTTTTCAGATGACATTATTGGTATTTATTTTCCACTTCAATGTGATTGATAACTAGTTTCGTCAAGTCTTCTTGTCTTGTTTCTGTTAGTTCACCAAGGTTTAATGGAATTAAAATATGAACAGTGAGTTGAAACACTATTATTTTAAGATGGATAATTCTTTAAAATGTATGGCCTTTTCACATATGCTAACAAACTCACCAATTTTTCAAATTCGAACGTATACACATTGTCACGTCATTTAACTTAGCGATTACAAGATCAACAAAATCCGATTACCTCTAAAAATCTGTAACTAATCGTTCACTTTGGTAGCAGCCTAAGTAGTGACTGTGATCTACAGTGAATGGTAGATAGACTTTGCTGATGAGTCTGACCAAACTTGAAACATAGACTCAGAACTGTCTACTAGTAATCACTAAAAAACCATATACCATACTGAAAATATCAACGAGTTTGTCTCCTGTTACTGCTCGCATATGAGGTATATAAATGCTCATTAATATTTGTACTGTCTTAGTATCGTTTGGAATTTTAATTCCTTTAAAAAGGTAACTACTCTGAGTGAATAAACTAGTTTATTTACATTCAAAACTACTAGGTAGCAAATAATCGCTGTAACTATCAGATTCTGCAATATTATCTATTACTTTAGTCATGCAATTAGTAAAAGCTCAATTAACATAATCGAGGAAGCTGTCTAGTTTGCTGTTAGCTTTATTAGTGTGAATGAAACGAGCTGACAAAAATATTTTTCCGGGGTTTACAAACTACAATCAGTTATGTAATTACAGTCATTTCGTAATATATACTCAAAATTCAGTTTGAGATAGGCTTACATTAAACAAAATGTGTAAAGTTTATTCAAATTCCGAACCTGATTCATATAAGATTGAAAAACATATGTTAGGTTTTTTAACGGTTTCAAAAATAACGATTTTTCTCATGTGGATGACCTACTATGCTAGTTTGGCTTCGTGAACTAGCATATAAACATGTGCATAATAATTTAACGGGAATGTTTACCAGTCATTTAGTCATTTCCAACTTGAGGCCAGATACATATGTGAATTGGTCCAAGTTGGTACACCATATTCGCACAGTTATATAACTTTATCAAGATAAATAACGGAGCAATAGTTGTAACAGTAGTAGTATTAGTAAAAAATAAGTATAAAAGATCTGATTGGAGAGGAAATAATGGGTTCGTGGAATAAAAAGAAAAGCATGAAACTATTTTGAAATTAGGAATCTAAAAGAAAGTGAATGCATCTACCCTTCTTGGATTGATCCTTAGCCGTTTCACACAACCTATTCAACCAGTAGTTGTATGAACCCCAGCTAGGTAGTGTGAAATAACTGGAAGGTTAAGCATCTAATCGTTCCCCAGTTTTTAAATCGTATATTCCATCAATTTGGTAACAATTAATTCCTATTCTGCTTTTATTTCAGTATTTGCGATGTTTACAAAAATTTTGTGCTTGGAATAGTTTGTAATTTGTTACTAAATGGTGATAATACACCTTTGTATCGTGGTTTAATTGAGTCAGGATATGGTCTAGACTGGATCGACAGTGTCAGCGGAATCGATCGTGGGACTCGCACTACAAGTTTTCATGTCGGGGTACAAGGTGTTCGTGCAAATGATCTGGAAAACTTTCCCCATATAATCAATGATATATTATCCGAAGTCGTTCGGTAAGATTTATCATCCGTTTAGAACTTTCCATTTATTTGTATGTCATTTTAGAAACAAACTTGTTTGTTGTAAATGAACCACTCATTTATTCATCTGATTTCTGTCTACTTTTTTGTCAGTACTATAAAGTATGTAGTTATTTGGGAAGAAGAATTTTGACCAAAGTAATGCATACATGAGTAGTAAATTATGTCACAATTGTTTACTAACGTTTTTGACCTACCGCTTGTCCTGACCATATACACAGCAAAAAAATAGCTATGATAACATCCATTACTAAGCTAATATGTACATGCTAGATGTGACATTTAAATTTACTGCTCTGTTCTCTCCATCACTATTCTCCAAATACAGTCACATGTATTTGCCTATCATAATGTTTAAGTAATCTCAAAAAGATATCTAAAATCCGTGAAAATAGATACACAAGACTGACGTGCATAATTGGTGTTCGATTTTCATCTTGGACATTCACTTTAGGTTTGGTTTCAGAACTGATCGTGGCTGCATCGACCACATATTCACCATTCGTCAGGTTTTAGAACACAGAAATGCTTATCGGCATCCGACAATGATAGTTTTTTCTTGACTTAAAAGCAGCATTTGACTCTGTAGACTGAGAGGTTCTGTGACAGTGTTTGTCATTGAAGGTGTACCTCAGGGGTACATAAACCTAGTGGGTGCTCTTCACTCAAACACCACCAGTCTAGTCAGAGATTATGGCGAACTGTCATCTGATTTTGCACCTTCAAGTGTTATCTGGCAAGGCTGTCCATTATCTCGATTTTTGTTCAATCCCACCATAAACTTCCTGCCGGAAATAACTTTCTCGTCGACTGAATTTTGGGGATTAGTCTCCTAATACGAGGTCCACTTATCGACTTAGAATACGCAGGTGACAATCTTGTTTGATGAAAACGCTGATAAAATGCCATATTTTGGTAGCACTGAGCAGCAATCCCAGGATATCTGGGATGCGTTTCTCCCCCTCTAAATGAAGGTTGTTTCTTCAGGACTGGTCTGCGTCAACAAGTCGACAACTTCACTTATCCTTGAAGTAATTCTATGACCCTTGATTGCTGACTATTCACCTACTCAGTGAAGTAACATTATAAGACCAAGACAACCTACCGCTGACCATTCTCAATGAAGACGAGAACTTATCAGATATTATGAAATTATTCGATCGATCAGTTTTAGATAGGAAGATATAGATGGTAAAACATAACCAATTATCTCATCGCAGTCAGGATTAGGTCGAGAATAAAATAAATTCATTTAAAAAAGCAGAAGTATAGATGAAATCTACATAGGTGTGGCATCTGTATATCTGTCACCAATCTGTCATTGGATTTGTTTCCCAGAGATTGTGCAATCCAGGGTCTTGTCATAGGCAAGAATGAAAACCTGTCACTTTCTCTTACATTCTCCATGAAAGTGAGATGGGCACCGTAGACCGAGAGAAATGTTTTTCGGCTGTATTTTTATCTAGATTGTATCTTTTATTAAAGATGTTATGCATCTTCATTTATTAAAATTGTCATGCACATGTAATTGAAGTTTTCAAAATCTTTCAGTGGAGCTCTGCGTCTTATTAATATTTTTAGTGTACAGGGCTGTTTTTGCTTCGAAAACTAGAAATCGATGTGTGGGGTTACATTCCTAAATTTCAATTCCCGGTTTTATAAAATTTCAGTTTGGGTTGTAAGGGTCTTCAAAAACATCCAAATAAGTAGTGTCCATCAAAAAACGCTTACAAACTACTCATATGTTTGGGAGGTATCATTCTAGAAGACTGAAAAAACTTTTTACCAGGAAAGATTATTCAAGGCCGTCGTTGAATTCGATGACAAGATCAGCTTATGATGTTTAGCACGGCTACTTTACACATTTAAATAACGATTATTTATCATACCCTATCGAAGTGTTAATGATTAAAAATTATCTTTTACTCGTATAGGGACGGCTTTCCAATGGAAGAAGTTGAGGCTACTCTTCATCAGTACGAACTGGAAATTCGTCATGAGTCGGCTCGTTTTGGTTTAAATCTTATTCTAAACCTATCCAACGCTGTTAATCATGGCGTTGATTTGAATGAGTTCCTGAAAATTGGAGCTAATGTGGATCGGTTTCGACAGGAATGGACCAAAGATCCGGCTATACTTCAAAGTTTTGTTCAACAATTCTTTCTAGTATGCGTAATGTGTTTACTGTATTCATGCATACCGTCTTTCATCTCGTTTAATCTCATGCGAAAATCTTACCCAAGGTCTTTTGGGTGTTTTTTTGCACTGGAAAGCTGTAAATGTAGGGATATTTGTCTAATCCCAAGGGTCATTTGCTCGGAAGTTTCCTTTATGCTTTCCTGTGTATCATTTTTTATTACCTACGTTATTGTATTTTTAATTGTTATCTTTAGTCATGTTATCTCGATATGAGGAAACCTAATACTTCTGGTGATATATGTTTTTGCAGCCAATGTCATTTTAAGTAATGTGTGTATGAAATGGGTAGTAGTGTGAAGCCGGACCTATTCATTTTATTGTAGGTTGAACGATCTTTAACGATAGCACCAAAGGATGAAAAAGTTTCAAAGCTCATGGTTTTCAACCATGATACTGTTTGGCGCGAAAAGTGAAATTATTTTGTACTATGATTTGATTACCCTGTATTTTGAAATGTCGTCTAACAAAAAATATAAACATCATGCGTGTGATCCATAAGTGTTTCACACGATATTTTTTCGGTGATCGGAATAAAGGGAGTTATTGACTTTTTAATTTTTATCAATATTGTTTTGGTGATTATTTTTTGCATATATCGTAATCGGGTGTTAATGCTACACCTAGGATAACAAACACAAACTGATAACTGTAATGCGTCCTGATCCAAACTGGAAGTCCATAGAAGCCAAGAAGGATGAAGAACATTTAGATCGTTTGACAAAGAACATAACACCGTTGGAAAGGGAAAAATTAGCACTGAAGGGTAAGACATATGTTTTTCAGTTTTCTGATTATTATTACCTCAGTGCTTCAGGCACTATAGTATTAAGGTCCAAAATGGCCATTTAAAATTATCAGAAAATTCTTTCTTCAAATCTTTGTTGAAGTGTTGTTTCATGGAGGTCTTTCAATTCAGTTTTTGTCGATTTCTCTTGCTATTTTATTTATTCATCTCTATGTGTTTAAACTTAGTACTTTTCATCGATGTATTTGTTGTCCTGTGATTCAATCCTTCCCATTGACAAGTGCTACCTGTATAATTTTATGCCCTTACTAGTAGTATGATCGAATGTTCCCATATCATTTAAATGGCGACAGACCGCTATACTATTTGTGTCTAGTGGTATGCACAGTAAATTAACCATCAGTTCATTGATCAGTACCTACTTATTTTTATTAGTTCGTGTAAATAAACTTTTTTTTACCGGTATAGATACTTTTAAACATAGTTATTTCACTTTTTCAAAACAAATGCAACTTATCATAGTTCCACATTGTGTATAACTGAGTAACAAATATAGTCTAAGGTTACTTGTGTAGTGTCTCTCGCGCCCTGTATTCAACAAATATTAATTTGGATACGTATCTTTAAATTGAGTGCATGAATAGGTGTGTACAATAATTTTAAACTAACAATAGGGGGTTGTAAAAATCATAGGATTTTGTAGTTTTATATCTTAGATCGACCTTAGAACACTACTATAAACCAGGAAGCACTAAACGATCAATTCGTCTTAGTGTAGTACTTCGATATCTGCATAACACTTTGATCCTACTTATAATTTTTATTTGAAAATAGCTCGTCAACTCCTTGAAAAACAAAATCAAGAAGAAGATGTTTCATGTTTACCGTGCCTCGACATTTTCGACGTACCTTTGGAATGCAGACCAGAACCGTTTACACTCACTCAAAGTAAGTGATTAATCAATTTATATTCTATTTAATATCCAGGAAATTTGAAAACAAAATTGTTGCTGTCTTGCAATTTTGTGGCAGATAACATAGTTCTGTGTGGCGAAGATGCTGATATAATTCAATCTACTGGTTGGTTACAAGGGGCAAATGGGTTGACTGTATCGATCCGTTCACTTATCTTGGTGGTCTTACCACATATCCCACTCTCTCCATTCTTGTTTAACTTTGTCGTTGACGTGCTTTTAGAGATAACAATTTCCTCAGCTAAATTTCCAGGGGTTGAACTTCTACTGGGCGATTCACTTTTTGACCTAGAATATGCCGATGACATAGTTTTATTTGGTGAAGACGCTGACAAAATGCAGAGTCTTCTGAACACTATAAGTAACAATGCAAACGTGTTCGAGATGCGATTTTCCCTCCCCTCGAAATGCATCCACACTCAAACTAATGATAGGGAGTGAAGTAGTTGGGCGTGTCGATCGCTTCACTTATCTTGGGAGTCTCATCAGCCCCTGTGGTCTGGTGTGTGACAAAATCTCAGCACGGATACAGAAGGCTCGACTAGCTTTTGCCAACTTGCGTCATTTATGGCATAGGCGAGATATCCGTCTACCAACCAAAGGACGTGTTTACTGCGCAGCAGTTCGTTCCGTCCTACATTATGGCAGTGAAACGTGGCCGGTAAGAGTAGAGGATATTCGTAGGTTACTAGTATTTCATCATAGGTGTCTTCGAAACATTGCTCGTATATCCTGGGACCATCGAGTAAGTAATGCAGTTGTTAGGAAACGGGTACTAGGTAAGGATGGCAAATCAATTGATGAATTAGTGAAACTTGATCAGTTGAGATGGTTGGGACACGTGTTACGTATGCCCAACGATCGACTTCCTCGACGTGTGATGTTCAGTGGTATAGGAGTAGGTTGGAAGAAAGTTAGGGGCGGCCAGACCAAGACATGGCACAAATCCATGAAGTCACTGATAAGTGGACTGAGCCATGTTGGTAGGTGTAGACTACCTGGTTGGGGACCGCGAGATGATAGCAACTGATGGTTAGAGACCCAGAATGACAAGGCTCAGAATCGTTTGCAATGGCACAGGTGCATACACTCTTTGTGTTCTCCCAAATCCTAATCTCCTGATTCCTCCTTTTCTCTTTTTTTCTCTTCCCAGATTTATTTCACTGTATTATACTCTTTAAATAAAATCTTCAAACCCTAATCTTTCCGATTACTGCTTATACTCTTACTACTTCTACCACTATGGGATTTGAATCGACAACTGTATCTCTGTGCTAATGTGGTGTGGCAACTCGAATTGATGTACGTACGTACTAAGTTCTACGTTGTTACTGACTGACTGACTTATTACATATGACTGCTTAGTGTCTAAAAAATCGGCTAATTCGGCTTTTGCCAACTTGCGTCACTTGTGACGTAGAACAGATGTCCGTCTTCCAACAAGAGACTACATAAATTATGCAGGGGTTCACACCGCATTTTTTTATTGGTGTGAATCTTGGTCTACGAAAGTAGAAGACGTGAATAGGCTGCAGTTTCCTTATCAAAGATATTTTCAGATCAGTACTTGGGTACTGTGAAACAAGTTTGCGAGAAGTACTGAGGTTAAAGGTAGGAAAATAGCCGGATATAATAAATCAGTTTACTCTTCATCAATTTAACTTCAGAAAATGAAGTTTTGCTCCTTACTTTACTGGAATGTTTGGGGTACTAAATAACTTTCAAGGTGTAAAGAAAATCTCCAGCGATTTTTATTACCAACCTCAGTATTAAAAATATTCAATCTCTCCTTGTCTCATGTATTTTGGGTTCTGAGTATGATGTTTGGAAAGTATGTAGCTAACTCTGGGGTTTATATACAGGAGCGTACGTTGACAAAATCATCAGTCCCAGTCTAGTTTTCTTATTCAGGTCTTTTGGAAATAAATATTAATTTTAGTGTAGGTATTCAAGATGTGTCGAGCAGCCCTTAAATCCCAGAAGCACTCTAAGATAAAACGGGATTTTACTCATGTTGTTTCAGACTTTTCAGTTACTATTTTTACAAATATTTCGCTCTGAATGTGTAATCTTTTTATAATATAATCACTACTCCCGTTTATAGTAGTCCGAATTTATAACTACGAGTTTGTTCTGTTTCAACTAAATCACTCACTGCTCCTACTATTATTTCGTTAGCGAATAAAATACATGAAATTTCGTTATTTAATGTGATGTTTGTGTATGAAAAATGTATTTCCTGTTCTCATAAAATTTCCTGTCTGTTTTTGTAATATTTAGCTTCAGATTTTCCTGTCCAGTTGAACGAAGCAGCAACTAATGGTTTAGTTTATTTCCATGCTTTGGCTGATTTGAAGGATTTGCCTTGTGAACTATTATCTTACGTTCCACTGTTTTGTTCGTTGTTTACCAGGTATATTTTGTTGCCTAAAGTATTATATCAATATGTGCAAGTTTTTTTTCTTGGGCTTCAGTGTATGAATCTTTACTTCGGTAAAACATTTGAAAAATCTGTTTTGCTAAAACTCACTAGTTGGAAGTTTCAACTAAAACCCTAACGTGTTTTAAATTACTCAGCTTTTCTTTTAATTGAGATTGTCCCTAAATTGTCGTATTACCAAAGCTGTATAGCCTGCTGTACGTAATCTGCTTTTTAGATTGGGAGCGGATGGAATGTCTTACTCAGAAATGAGTCAAGCAATCGAACTACATACAGGTGGTTTCGATGCTTCTCCTTTTGTTACACCTAAATTACCATCTTGTTCAAAAACTGAATTTTCGTCTGCATCTCGACAAATTCATTTGTCCAGTTATTGTCTTGAATCAAAAATACCTAATTTCTTTGAACTTTGGTCAAAAATTTTCCGTTCCCCAGATTGGTCCGATCAGGAGCGTTTATCAACTCTGATTCAAATGTCAGCTGCAGGTGAATGGTCAGCTAATGCAATTTCAGATTCAGGTAAATAATAGCGTTATAAATTCCTCAATTTAGGTTATAAAATATTTCTTTGAGTTTTCGTTATTGCTAGCAACATTAATGAAAACGATAGGTTATTGCGATGCAAAGCATTACTTCAGTGTGATCACAATCACATGTACTCTAGGAAAGTTACAGATTCATTGCGAACATCCCGATATAGCATTTAGAAATTTTATGAATACCAAGAAAGTCAATTTCGACGATAAATATCCAGTCTCAACAATTAACAGTTAAGTGTACAGAAGGGAGAAATATCTTTCTATTCCGAATAATCTTCAAGATTGATATGATCTAACTCAAATATTTATATTTGTAAACCTAACGAAAAGCTACTGAAAATAGATATTTCCATGTAATTTTCTAGTTATAGGTAGTTTTTGCTTATTTATTGTTAATTCACTATAACTAAATGTGATTGACTTTGATTATTCAGGATTAATGATAAGAATTTCATATAAGTTCTCAGTAAATGGATTACATATGTTCTCGAATTCAGTCAGTCAGAAGCAACATAAAACCTGGTGTATCGGTCCAATTTGCCACATCACATCAACACTGTAATTTAGGTTATAGATCAACGATTAACAATATGTTGATACGGCGTTAACGAAAGGTATATTTAACAAGTTTTCGTGGTTAAATTAACTCCCGTTTCCATCGTTCTCACTCATAATTGTCCAAAAAGTTGTCTACAGCTTTTTAAAAAAATGGGTATTTCAATTTTTTAAATGATGATATCAGTTCAAATTCTGCTTACGTTCGTGTTATTCTTCGCCGTATGCAGAGCTACAGAATTTATCGAGTTCGAAATGTTGTTTAGAAAATCAAAACTCCGACAATATTTTACGGTTATCAGTATTGTATTGACATTTTTATAGCTACAATTATTCTAGTACATGTATTTTTTGTAAGCCCATGAATTCGCGATGTGTCGCGCTGCTGCCAGTCTTTCGTCAACTCGGCTTACTCGTGAACTCTGGTCAGGAATTGAGCAAGCTAGAATCATGCAACATATTGCCGGCGAAATCGGACTAGAAAGTGACAAACGAAGTGATGTTCTTTCAAACATTACTGAACGTATGAAGGCTATTTGGAGTTATATTACTTCACATAAAAGACTGAAGTAAGTTCATGTATAAGTTGCAGAACAGTCATTTTTCATTTAAGTCTTCTGTTTTGTAGAAATCCCTTGTTTGAGAGACCAATAGTTATGTTAATAATCAGTCATGAATGCTTATAATATGCTCTGAAATTAAATTTATTTTTGTTCAAACTTACTTTGATCCTGGATTATTATGAAACGTAATACATACATACATTAGTTTATACATAATAACCTGTACTTGTTCATTCTTATTGGATCTAATTGTTTAATTAGATCCAGTTTTATATATTATTATGTTTATTTACACATAAAGAGATTTCTCTGGTTCTGTTCATTTCATACGAGTGAAGTGAAGGTTTCGTGATTTTTGATTGTCTGTTAAACTATCTTAGCTACCATAACTTCCTTTCTGTTGTTTACACATCGAGTATTTTTTACACTGGAGGTCACGAAGATAATCTTTTATCTCATAAATTACTGTATTTCTAAGGACATTGAATTTATTGTTATAAAAAACTAGTTTTTGAAATAGTTAATCTCGTGAATTATACTAAATTCTTCCGGTGTGTTTTTGCGTCGATGTGAACATTATTTTGAGTTCGTACATACTGTAGACGAAAATCGATACGAATAATATAATTTTAAATTACTGTTTCCCATTGTATTGAAATATAAGTTACACGTTTATATATCAGTGTCTTTTGGTATCCTTTTGTCGAATTTTAGATTCAGTCTTCATGGGGAAGCTGATGGTTTAATGTCAGGATTAAAGTACCTTGATGGATTTTTAAATGATTTATCACAATCACCAAAAGTGTCGACCAGTTTATTGATTGAAGACTCTCAAAATCCAGATTTTTTCCCAAATATTTCTGGGAATACATTTTTTGCAATGCCGTATACAGTGCACTATGTTGCTAAGGCTATTGAAGCTCCAAGTTATGACTCTGAAGATTATGCAAGGTAGGAAAAAAACTAGCAGTTTTAAGTCGATTTTTATTTCTTTAAATGTTCATACCAAAATTCAGTAGTCACCTAATCTCACAGTTCTTTTCCCTCTGTTTCTGTAGTTATCGTGTCTTGGCTCATTTACTGTCGTTTAAGTACCTACATCGTGAAATAAGGTGAGTTTTGTGTACTGTCGGTTATTTTAAAGCACATACTTTCTCATTTTTACGAAGTATTTGCGTTCTTTTGGAGGCTGTAATGTATCACTAGAGTTTAGAAATATGGAAGCAGTTTTAGACGTTTTTATATATCCCAAATTTTCTTATTCGAATGGATTCACATGTTTACGTACTTCATAAATAGGAGATTGGCTCAGGAAAATATTCAGTTTAAGATCAAATTGAAATCTTTCATCTTACCAGACTTAGTATAGCCAAGCGCCTGATTACGACCAATTAAAACAATATATGCATTCTCTATGTTTCATTTCACACATTTGTGTTTTTACTTCATTTTGAGATGGTGGGGATTTGTAGCTCAGGTGTATGATTTTGATGGCGTTTTTTTCTCTGAGCTGGATGGTTTAGTCGTGAAGCTTTCATCGTTCATCATCAGAGCAAACTTCAGGTAGAAGTCAAGAACAAAACTCCATCATAAAAGTATTTACTTCATCCCTACTTTCTTGTTACGAAATTGTTTCTGTTGTATAAACTAAGACTAATGAATTTTTCAGCAGAATAAGTCATTCAGTTACAAGCAAATGTTCATCAGCATAGCAACGTGAAATTGTGAGTATGAATGTCAAACTAGTGGTATAGTATCATCGGTAATGAATAGTAAATGTTACGCATATGAAGAATGTGATTCGAGAAAATGGAATTAAAAGGGGTGTGTGAAGAAGAACTGAAATGCAAAATCTAGAGTCCGACTCTGAGACATATCTATAAACGTTTCCTTCCACTGATTGTGTTTATCGCGAGGACGTCAGTTGGGTGGTAGTCTGCATCTACCAACATCGCTCACACCAACTGTGAGTAACTTCATAGAGTGGAACCGTATTTTGGTTTGGTTCTCCCAACCTGTTTATGCACTGGCAAATATTGCGCTTGTGTATACGTGACAAATGCTATCTTTGCCACGTACTCTATGCCTAATCTCATTGATCACTCGATCGTTCCACGAAACACAAACAATGTTTCGAAGAAACTCATATAAAAATAAGTAGCCTACCTATGCCTTCTAGTTTTGTAGACTGTATCATGGGAACAGAACAATGTAAAATAAACTATTGTCCAGTTTACTCACCCTTTTGTTGGAAGACGGACATGTCGCTCACACAAACTGAGTTTTTTGAATGCGTACCGATGATGAAACTTCCAAGATAAGTAAAGCGGTTGATGTAGTTATCTGCGCTTCCTATGATCGACCTAGCCGATAGACATAAGTTCTGAAGCTAATGTTGCATTTAGAGGGAGTAAAACGCGTTCCAAACATGTATTGTTACTCAAGGGGATCAAAATATTGCACCGAGAATAGTGAGAAATGGACGTAGGAAACTTTGGCGTGATAAACGCTAAATTGAAGTTTTGAGAGAAACAGATTTCAGTAAAGGTGGTTTTCTGATTGACTTGGGAACCCAGTGTATCCTACGATTTCACCCATCCCTCTAGTCCCCTGAGTTAAGAACATTTAATGGTCCCATCATATTCTTAACAGTTACCTTGTTTGTTACTAATCACCACTAACTTTCCCGTGTTTTTCGCTTTCATCTCTTACCACCGCTCATGACCGTTAGTAGGGTTTTTGTCGGTTTATGATTAATTTTGAACTGGGACTCTGACTGATTTAATTAATTGCTTTTAAGGTTAGTTTAGCCTATCTACTTACGGATCAAAATTAACTGCCACGATTTCTACATCTAGACATTTAATTCTTTTATATATCGAGTAGCTTCTTTTCATCTGACTTGAAGTTAGTGGGATATGAAACAGACTGTGAATATGTAATAACGTGCGTGGCTCAGAACCGATCACGATGGCGTGGGTGTATACACTCTCTGTCTTCCCTTAAACTATGAGATTAAAATCGCTTCATATCTTTCTATGTACTAATTCTTTCTTCCTGTACTATATCCTTATATGCAATTTTTGTTTTACATATTACCACCATTGAATTAACTACTTTTATGAATCCAGTGTTCAACTTGCTGTGCTAATGCGGTATGGCAACTTGGACCGATGCATATATGTGCCTGGTCCTACGTTATAGCTGACTGACTAACTGAGCGTGCGTCCCTATCCTTTCGAGTTATTACTGTTCTGTTTAGTCGAACACTATACAAGTAACTGTTTACCAAAGTAAACTTCGCCTACGCCAGCGACTCCACGTAATTATTCATCATGTCGGCCAACATACTAAGCATAAACCATCCTAGTCCTCTACATGGAATAGGTAAGATTAAGTGAATTATTACACTTGGATCTTGCATATGAGTTTCAGAGGCAAGGCTTATGTCAGTGACATGAGGTTCTGAATTCCTAGTTAATAAACTCTATTGTATGGCTTGACATAAGGTTTGAACATTAAAAGCTCGAACATGAATTTTGCAGCGCAATCTCAGTAGACCAGAGATAACACTTCAATTTTTAGCTTGAGGTAAAAAGAAGTTATACGAAAAAGGTTTGTAGTAAGAATAGAATGAGTGTTAGGAAATGAAAAAGTTGATATTGAGGGTTGTTAGAACCAGTCGGTGTTAAATCTTTGGAAAGAGGTGTCAAGTTAGCTATTTTGTGTTACTGACCATTTCCGTCGTGAAAAGGCGGCGTCGTTGCAAGTGCTGGTTATCTGAAGAAAACACCTTATTGTTGCCGCATCTCTATACAGTTAGCAGTACGACTTTGTTCTTTGACCCAGTACCTACTCTTAGTCTTGCCTCTACCCAATCGACCTACCTGATTAGAGATAATAAGACCTAATAGATCAAGTGCTCCAACCTCAAATGGGTCGTCACGGTAGCGATTTTGCCCACCACGATGGTTCCACAGTTACAGACCTAGTTCCAACAGATCATACCTGTAATCCACTGACACCGAATGGATGTGTGCTTTTACTGTATTCTACCAATTTTGCTGTGAATTATCTGTCGCACCGTTGGGTTACTAATCCAATTTATTTCTTGCGGTTTTCCTTCCGAATTGTGCAATTTCCCATGAAAAGCTTTTTGTTATCAAGTGATATGATATTTCTTTCGAATTGAGATCATTTTCCTTTGTTTATTGTAATGGTTACATCAACCAGTTTATTTTAGATATTTCGGTTTATTTTCTTCCTTTTCCATTGATTGAATTTCTACTGAATTTTATAGGGAAAAAGGTGGTGCTTATGGTGGGGGAGCTATTGCCAAACCGGAAGCTTTCTTGTTTTACTCCTATCGGTAAGCTGCATTTCGTTGGTCATTAAATAATCTTATTCTTCCTATTTTATGTAAAGTACTGAACCGCTTTGGAGTTTTTTGCGGTTTCATTAATCCAAAATACTAAGTGATTTGGATTTTCTCACTGATGGACTCGAAGCAGTTGATTTCAGGAATTCTCGGTGAATCGACAAAAAAGTTGTCGGAAAATCATTATGGTTAAATTTGATAGATCCGTTCAATGAAACATCTGTTTAGGGATTTCGTTATGAGAATAAAATATTCTGGTAGGATAAACTAACTTCTCTTTATATGGCACAGATACATGAATTCAACTGTTCTCAATACTAACAGTTTTGTTGACGAGACTATATTTTATTGACGAACCAATTAGATTTAAGATAACAGGTCTCGGATTTTAGCGCGAAATTCATCCACTTATTTGATTAAATGCTATTTCGGCATTATGTCTGATGTCAGATCCTGATGAAAACCCTTAATCTAATTCCTAACCCTAAACATCAACTGCAAATCGTAATTCTAATTCCTCAAACTACTTTATAACCGTCATTTAGTCCTAGTCAGTAGGTGAACATTTTCAAAGTCATTTTAGCGTTGCTCAAGGGTCATTCATAAATTATAGTCTCACCAAATTTATTTACTATGTTAGTGTGTAAGTTTATGTTAGTTAAAACATAATGACAAACAGACGAGCGCTTTAAGCAGAACTTTTTTTCTTCACGCGTCTATTATGCGAGCTAGCGTGAGACTTTTTTTTCTGACTATAGTCACGTTTTTGTGATTTCGTGGTTACTCATTCCTTAGAAGTACTACTGTTAGCTTGATTTGGTTACCATACTTATGTATAATGTCTTAATTAACTTGTATTTTAAGTTTTATTCACGGTATATGTATTTTGTAATCGTTCTTATTAAGAAATCAATTTGTGTACTGTATTTTGTTAAGTGATCCTTATCCTCTCAAAACGCTAAGTAGTTTTGAAAATGCTATAAAATGGGCCAGCTCCAGAGAATTTCAAGATCAAGATATTAAAGAAGCTAAACTTTCTGTTTTCCAAGAAGTAAGTAAGATTGTTGGCAGTTACCATATTTTGCATAACTTTCATGCTTTGCACATTCAGGATTGCGTTTTAATCAAGCATTGGACTTCTTTAACTTCTGAACTTTTAGCATACTTATTCATTTAAGATTTGAACAAGTAAAAAAGAAGTATTGTAAATGAGGCTGTATTCTAAAGGTCATATATGTCGTTACCACTAAAATAGAATAAATACTCAATTGTTAGTTCATCCAAATATTATAAAAATTCATATGGATGCCGATTTGAGGATTTTTAGTAGTTACTGTAGGTAATGATTGGTTAAAAGGTGTCCAGCAAATATATAGGCTTCTGGAGAGAACTAGATAATGGTTCAATCGATCTGTTGCCTGAGTAACATTGATCAAAACCTCCTTATCCCTTTTACCGGTAGATTTATATCCACGAAATGAAATGAAGATTGGTAAGAAACTACAGCTTCTGAAGAGTTGAATATCGCCAATTCTAGGCTGCTTACCCTTGAAATTTATCAATGTCTGAAGTGAATTCTTAGTCAGGAAACACTTTGCATTGTTTCAGATTTGACGTACAGAAGCGCTCGATTGCCCTTAAATGAAGTCATCATCATATTCGACTACACGAAACCTGTTTTATTTTGCTTCTAATCCTACCCCAAATATGGGCCTTTTTCATAGTCCACAGATTGTGGAAAACTCGTGAAAAGCAGTCTGGTGTTTAATCATTTATTCTTAAACATCAGCAGACTTATTATCTAGGTCAACAAACTCTTGTACTCCTTGATATAAAGTTCGTCTTCTATTCCTTGGACAAATTGTGGTCTGGGATTTAGTTCTCCTGCGAATAGCATCATGAAAACAGTCTTGGTAATAGTTCGAAAGTTCATGCATCTAGTTAATCTACGTGTAATGAAATACTAGAATGGCTTATCCCAAAATAGGGAATGTTCTAACATTTCTTCAATCCAATCACAAAAATTCGGCCTCGGTAAAAGGTGTATTGTTAACATGCAATAAATCTAGTATAGTGAAACTGTACAAAGTTAATTCATAGGGCCTCTTAGGTGTTTACGGTAATCTGTCCAATCAGTCATGTTCTCCCTACCAAGTTGACGTATGATTTGTCAACAAGTTTTAAGACTGTCGATCAACATTTGATCGAGATTTGAACTATTATCATTTCTCGAAGCATTAATCATCCTAGTAAATCCTCATGATTGTTTTTATTATTACTATTATGAAGTTTTATTCTATCCTTCTATTGAGTTGATACTAGTAAATTATAATCTTTTGTTTATACTTTTATTCCCATTGGTTTTTTGTTTTTAGTTGGACTATCCTGTTTCAGCGGGTTCCCGCGGTCTAACCCATTTTTTGTATGGGATCAGTGATGATTTGAGACAGTCACACAGAAACCAGGTTTTCTCTGTTGACGCATCAAGAATAAAGGATATCTCTGGAAAAATGGTACAGAAATTATCTGATACGTCAGATTTTCATAATGTGGGTCGTGTGGTCATAGGCCCAGAGAGTAGTCCGGACTGGATTCAAGATACTTTCGGTCAGGATTCCAAAATTATATGGGAACGTGTAATAATGATGATTTAGATTTACTACTACATCTGTAATGCGACTCATTAATTTAATTTGGTATTGTCTTTACAAAACTTATGTATGAGATCTCTTTAGAAGATGACTCTCAATTTCATACATTGTACTTGAAGAAATATGTCACTAGTTTTCCCTGTCGTATGTTAACATTATGTCTTCTCTCATATATAAAGTTTACAATTGTATAGAATTTTCATGCTGCGAGTCACACTTGTTATTCATATTCAATATTAATTGAGGGTAATTTTCTAGATTTTAAAATCTACGGAGTATAGCTGTAGTCATTATCGGTGGCGAAAGGAGTTGCACTGTTGATTAGAAGTAAGATGCATTTTAAATATGTTCATTATTAGTTTTAGCCATACAGAATGGGATCTTTCTAAATAAGTGTCTAGTCTAAATGTTGTTTCGAAAATCTCTTATATTTTTTTACTTCATCCAACTAGATGTATGCAATTTTCCATTTATAAATGTTAAGTAACGGCCTTTATGCTTCGGTATATATTTTAATGTAATTACCACAGTGCAAAAAATTTACCACGCGGATACCCAAGTTCATATTTATCATTCAAACTAATCAGAAATCTCTTAGTTTTCGGTTTTACATGTTTATAGTCAAGTTAACTGACACTTAAGCTAAAAGTAAGGTCTGGAAAAAAGTTTCTCAATTGTTCGTTGGTTTAGGATTGTTTATCTAATTGACTGTTAAACATTAATTCAGGTACAACTGGGAACCAAAGAAGTCTACATCGCACAACTAAAGAGACAATACTGTAGAGAAATAAACGAGGATAAAGAAGTACAATCTAATGAATAAATAAAAAGGAGTAGTATATAATAGGAAATAAAGTTCATTTGGTAAAACAGTTGAAATTAAGTAGCTAATGTATCATATTGGCATCCTTACACTCGAAAAGTCTTTCTTCAAAATGTAGATCTACACCACGAGTACGTACTTCCTTCTGTTGAGTTGGCTTTCTGAGAACTGCAACGCTGCTTCCAGAGGCCCTAAAGGAACCGAAGAGTCCTAGCCATTCAGAGCATGATGGAGCTTCTAGAATATCAACGTGGCGTGCTACTATTGGTCAATAGCATAATATGTCTTAGCGGATTGGCCAAAATATGATGTTGATTTAACAAATGTTAACGTCTATAAATACCTGTGTTTTTCTGTACAAAAATGAACATTTGAAGTATAGTTTCATATGTGGAAAATATGATGAGCGAGCTTATTAGTGAGGCAACTCTATATAGAAGATACATGGACGATATTCTAATTATATGTGATTTTGATGTTTACCTATTATTGGATAAACTCAGTGGTGTTCAAGACGATATTGTGATGACATATGAATCAGAAAGTAATGGCCAATTGGCCTTTTTAGACATACTTTTAAGTCGAACGGACGATGGCACAATTAGACGGTCAGTGTATAGGAAACCAACCTGGACGGGACAACACTTAAATTCCCAGTTTTTGTCCATTGCAATACAAGCGAGGCCTGGGTAAGTGTCTCTTTAAGAGGACTCAATGAATTTGTACTTCTGACACGGTGAAAAAAGATGAAAAGTTACTGACAGACACATTAGTAGCAAATGGTTATCCACTAAAGTTTATTAATAGGTGCAAAAGTCAGTTAATGCCAAGACCTCTTGTTTATTTAGTTCCAAAGGAAAAAGCTTATATCAATCTACCATATAGAGGCGAATCTAACAGTATAGTTTTAAGACAGGTTGAAAGCAGCCATCGAGAATGCCTATTATGCTGCTCAGTAGGTTGTGATTGAAAAGTCAGCCCATGATTACATCATATCCCATTGTATTTACGTGTTTGTGTGGGGACACACATAGGAAAGAGTAATTGAACAATGTAATCAAGGGTCAATGAACATGTGCCCAGATGGCTTCAAAATCAGTGTGTGTCAAATGATCCGATTAATGTAGGAGGTAGAAAACCAAGTTCATCGATAGCAAAACACATAATTGAGACGGGGCACAAAATTAACATTAATACAGCATTTAGAACGTTGTATAGAAATTGTCAAGGACGAATTCTTAAGTTTATTGAAGGGTTGGCTATTCGTAAATTTAAGCCTCCCTTATGTGTACAAAAACAATTTGTTGTAACCTTGAGTTTACCTTAGTAATCCTTAAGTCATTCTATGACCCAGGATAATGCGACAAGTTCTTATCCTTTCTCTCCCCTTTGTTATTTTACTTGAACTTTCATTTAATTGGCCTTTATTAATTTTCATATAAGAATGTCCTGACAAGTATATATGTGACCATATTGTTCGAAATGTATAGGGCAAATCCATCACATTTTTCAGATAAACTCTGTCTTCTCATTGATCAATCATTAATGCCGTTCATGAATTTAATTTCGACGGTGCAGCAGGTGTAACTTTTGATTCTTGGTTTAAGAAATATGAAGATTTGTTCTATATTGATCTCTGCAGAGTTGATGGCGCCTCAAAAGTCGGAATACTTCTAAGTAAACTTGAGACGATGGGACATGAACGCTATAGTAACTTCATTCTCTCGAAGAACCCACGAGACTTTAGTTTTGATGAAACAGTTAAAACCCTGTCTCAAATCTTTGGAGAACAATCATCTATATTTAATATCCGTTACCAGTGCTTGAAGATAACGAAAGAACCAAGAGATGACTGGGTGAAACATGCAAGAATTGTGAACTGAGAGTGTGAGAGGTTCAAGTTGTCTTCCATGACTGAAGACCAGTTTAAATGCCTAGTATTTGTTTGTAGCCTGCGTTCACCTGCAGATGCTGACAACCGAACAGGAATCCTAAGCAAGCTCGAACACTGCTCCGACATGACTCTGCAGGAAGTAACTACCGAATGCCAAAGGTTAGTGAACTTGAGGCATGGTACCTCGGTGGTAGAGAACGGTAACCGTTTCCCTGACGTCAATGCAGTCGAGAGAAAAGTCTAACAAGGTTCCAGTACGCAGAATTATCGTAATGACAGCGACAAACCATCATCTCCATGCTGGTCATGTGGGGGTTGGCACCATAAGAGGTTCTGCCCGTATCAGTCTTCAGTAATAAGGATAGGAGGTCTATTGACCTATATTAATCCTTGCAGTTTGTAATACTGTGGAGGTCCAATCTCGTTTTGAATATATTAACAGAAGGTGATGATATTACGTGTTCCGGTAGAGAATTCCAGTAATTCACTACTCGGTGCGAGAAACGAAACTCCAGACGTAAACTATCAGAGTTATTTAACTGCATCACTACACTCTTATTAGGATTTACTTCTAGTGACCACCTGTCTAACCATGCTACCAATGAGCTAAGATCGTCCTGTAATACTATTCTGTCCGACATACTATGTATGGGTCTCCAAATCTTTATGTCATCAGCGAAGAGTAGAACGGATGATTTTGCTACAGTTGGCAATTCATTTACATAAAGTAAAAAGAGAAGAGGACCTAGGATTGTACCTTGGGGAACCCCACTTTTTACAGGTACCCACGAGGAGAGAGCCCCATTAACCATTTGTCTCCTGTCATGGAGAAAGTTACTTATCCAATCGACGACTGTATAATGGATTCCAAAACGTTCCAGTTTGAATTTAAGACCAGAGTGGGAAACCTTATCAAAGGCTTTACTTAGATCTATGAAAATCACATCCACAGGAGCATTCCGATCCTTTGTTGCAGCCCAATCTTCTCGTGCAATGAGAAGATTTGTCAAGCAAGATAGGCCTTTCCGAAAACCATGTTGTGCCCTGGAAAAAAGATTTTGCCCTTCAACATAGTTTATAACAGCTATCCGAATGATTTTCTCCATCAGTTTTACAACTGCACTAGTTAAGCTAACGGGTCTATAGTTACTAACTAAATCCATACTCCCAGCCTTATACACCGGACTTACTATGGCGTCTTACCAGTCTCTAGGAAGTCTGGACTGTCTCAGAGACATGTCGAATAGTACCACTAATGGTTCAGCAATTTCATCTGATATGGCTTTCACAATCCTAGGATGAATATCATCAGGACCACTGGACTTATCATGTTTGAGATGCTGAAGTAGCCTTAAAACAGTACCTTTCTCAATGACTACAGGATCCATCAGCGAGCCGTCACGGTCACGATGAATCGTTGGTCGTTCCTCATTACCGATGGAAAATACTTTACTAAAATATTCCGATAAAGCTTCAGCCTTTTCGGCATCATTTTCTGCCAAGATTAACGGATTTTCTTGTATCAAAAGTGATGGAATTCCATCACTTCTTTGAGTTCGCCTTTTATGTACGAGAATAACCGTTTCGGACTATATCTAGAATCCCTAACCAATTGTTTTTCGTATGATAGTCTAGTCTTACTTATTAACGCTTTACAGGTATTCCTAATCTTACGATAACTGGATCTCTATTGTTCTAAGCCAGTAGAGATGAACATATTCTAGTGTTTCTTCTTTTTCCTAAGAAGTTTCCTGACTAGTTTAGATATCCATGGTGGACTGTTAGTCGGTCTTCGTGGCACCAGGTATGGTATGAACGGAGATGTAACTAGACTAAACTTATCTTTAAATTCAGACCATGCTTCTTCAACTGATAAGCTAGTAACTACAAACCAATCTGTCTTAGCGGCGCATTCCTGAATGGCTGATATGTTAGCTTTCCATACATTTGGGCGAGGTGTAGCCTGGTCGTATAACATGCCCCTAGTTCTAAACGCGAATGACAAAACAGCGTGATCGCTGTTCACTAACGGTGGAAGTATATTTAGGTCGACAATATCCTCAGTCTCATGAGTGATTACCAAGTCCAACAGAGAAGAACCTTGGTTAACACCAAAACGTGTGGGTTTGGATACATGCTGCACTAATGCATGCTCCATTATTGTTATCAGGAACCTACTATCAAAGGAGTTTATAGATCCTTCTGTGGTCATCTCAGTCCAACTAGTATCAAGTGCGTTAAAGTCTCCTATTATCAAGCATCTGGTATTTGCACTCCAAAAATGAATGTGCTCTACAATAAAGTCATCAGCTAAGCAGATTGGGCTCCGATAGATGACACCTAGCATAAATGTACTACATCCTATAGCCAACTTACAGCTAATGACTTCACAAGTGCCGCTATCATGGGATTCGCTAGTAGAGGAGCGGATATTTATGCTATTGGCTATATATAACAGGACGCCACCTCCTTTTCTACATCTATGTCTATCACTCCTGAGGTAATGGTATCCGGATAATTCTGGAGTAAT